CCCCAAAACCCCAAAACCCCAAAACCCCTCGTCCCTGGGTGGCGTTGAAAAATATATTTATGAAGGGCTTCCATGCAAGGACTCTCTTAATACCTTGTGCTCCTGGTTTTTGAAGTTTAACTTGTGTGCGCCTCTATTGTTGATACTTGGCAGATTCCATTTTGGGCCATTCCTAGCCCGTTTTAAGTCTCTAGAGTATCTATTCATCCTAATCTATATTTTTAGAGATATATTGGGCTGAAAACGTAAGCCTACCTGCACTGGAGATGTCTTGTGGTCAGTCCATGGATTTGTATTATAAATTTTCGTATTTTGATGCACTGGAGGAGGCTTATTGAACCTAGGAACTTCATATCCATAATCCGAGCCCTCTAAGACTTGTCCTGAATATGGGTCATTAGCATTCTCTGTCCTGTAGTTGTTTGATAGGAGGTTCCTCTTAAGGTCTAGAGTTCCTTTATTCCTAGACTGGAGCATCTCATCTGGAATTGACTCGAAGCTTTTTGAGAGAATATTCTTAGCATTTTCTCTAATTTTTCTAAAAAGTTTACACACAGGAGCTTACCCATCTTGGAGCTTGATAGTCGTATTGTGTATCTTCTGAGGATGGCCAGTTGGAAAAGACTCCAAAGAATGATCAAAACTTTGGTTGCCGATCCCAGAGAGTCTACCAAGTCAGATGAAATGTTAATTACCTCTTTTCAGATCTTATCTTATATAACCTCGGGATTTTAGGCCGGATGTCCAAGCTGTTGCCAGGAGGGGTCTCCAAAATGCTTTGTCTAGGAACTACAATTCTCTTCTTCTTCTCCTCCATCTGGAGGTTGGTGGGAGACTCAAACCGATCTCCAGAGCCTTCTCTTGACCTAGCAGGGCTGTATGATTCTCCTTTATGAGGAGAATCATTTGCTGGCAAAGTTGCATACGAATCATTATTTTTAAGTGAATTATCATGCCAGATATCGTTTAATTTTACTCTTGAATTAAGCATTTTCGTATTGGTAAGCCTCGTGTAACTCTCACGAGTCCTTCTCCCTGTGTATTTAGGGATTCTAGGAGCAGTGGCTCCATCTATATCATCTGTGCGCATATGGTCTCTTTTCTGGAACCTAGCTACCCAGTAGTTAGGCTTCGATCCCTCTATATCAGTGATATCCATATTTCTCTTTGTTCTGAACGATTTGAGTCTCTTCAAATGCTCTGGATAAAAGCCTTGGCAAGGCGAGATGTAAGACATTTTTAGCTAAATTTTATTTCCCTATAGCTCTGCAAATTTGGGGTTTTGGGGTTTTGGGGTTTTGGGGTTTTGGGG